TTATAAATATAGATTTTAGAACCGGCCTGTAGGCTGGGTGTGGTGACGCATGCCTGTAATCCTAGCATTTTGGGAGGCTGAGGCAGGCGGATCATGAGGTCAAGAGATTGAGACCACCCAGTCCAAAATGGTGAAACCCATCTCTACTAAAAATACAAAAATTAACTCGGTGTGGTGGCAGGCACCTGTAGTCCCAGCTACTCGGGAGGGGAGGCTGAGGCAGGAGAATCGCTTGAACCCGGGAGGCAGAGGTTGCAGTGAGTTTTATTAGAGTTCCTATAAATCTATAGGAGAATTTGGAGAGGACAACTTTATAATACAGTATTGTGTTCTTATCTAGTCACAAAATTAAATTTTAGAAATTTTTAAAGTTTCAGAAGTTTATCCATAAGAATCTTATATAGCTTTTATTCAGTTTATTCCTGAATACTTTTTTCTTTGTGCCATTGTAAATTATATCTTTTTTTTTTTTTGAAACAGAGTCTTGCTTTGTTGCCAGGCTGTAGTGCAGTGATACTATTTCAATTGACTGCAACCTCTACCTCCTGGGTTCAAGCGATTCTCCCACCTCAACCTCGAAAGTAGCTGGGACTACAGGTGCACGCCACCATGCCTGGGTAATTTTTGTACTTTTAGTAGAGATGAGGTTTCACCATGTTGGCCAGCATGGTGTCAATCTTTTGACCTCATGACCCAACTGCTTCAGCCTCCCAAAGTGCTGAGATTACAGGTATGAGCTACCACACTCGGCTGTAAGTTATATCTTTTTAAGGATTACATTTTAATACATTAAGGCACAGAAATAAAATTCACTTCTGTATATTGATTTTGTAGACAACAACCTTGTTTAACTTCCTTATTAATGTGGTAAAATTCGGCCGGGCATGGTGGCTCAAGCCTGTAATCCCAGCACTTTGGGAGGCTAGGGTGGGGGGATCACCTGAGGTCAGGAGTTTGAGACAAGCCTTGCCAACATGGCGACACCTTGTCTCTACTAAAAATACAAAAATTAACTGAGCGTGGTGGTGTGAGCCTGTAATCCCAGCTACCCAGGAGGATGAGGCAGAATTGCTGGAACCCAGGAGGCAGAGGCTGCAGTGAGCCGACATTGCGCCATTGTACTCCAGCCTGGGTGACAGAGCAAGATTCTATCTCAAAAAAAAAAAAAAAAGATGCTTAGAGGTATGTATTCCAGGGTTAGAGCAGTTGCT